TGAACAAAGTCCAAGATCAACTTCAAGGACACATACTGTTTTGACCCACTATGAGCCCAAGAAATGATTGGTTTAAGTATGTGATATCTCACTATGGGAGTTTGATGTGGGATTCTCTCACATAATGTGAGATGGTGTGGAGAAGCTTGTAGTATATGCCTTGCCAACTTGAACAAACACAGGACTTGGTCATTTTTTCGAATAATTTTATCATCAACAATCGTATATTGTGCTCGGAGTCGGACAAATACTTTTATGGAGCAAGTTCACCTTCTTAACTGACTGACTATCAAACTCCTACAATCATTTGGTTCAGAGAAGGGAGCACATCCTTCCAAAATTATGGCCTCAGAAATGGGCATTGAATTTGATAGTCAATAAGTAAAAAACATTAAATATTGAAAGTTGGCAGGTCAAATGTGGCTATCTTTTCAAATTTCCCAATAAGACTTATTCCTTCACAGCCACGGACTTACAATTGTCATCCCAGTGTCTTCCAGGAAAGGCTCGTGACAAAACTCACAAGGACACAGTGCTCAGTTAAGCATTCAATTGTGTCATGAATCACTGGCCTAAAGTGTATGATGAGAAATTCAAGGAGTATTTCAAATGTAAAAGTGAAATGAGCCTAGATTAAGGCTGTCTCCTACAGGGTGCAAGAGTACTTGTTCCACCAAGGTTTTGACAGAGATGAAGAACTTCACCAAAAGCGTACTGCAATAGTCCAGGAATGCACAAAGATTTTGCTATTGTTATTCAGCAGACAGCAATTTCAAAAGGATATCAGGGAAATAAAAGTGACTAACTGGTGGGATGACTTTTGGGACTGGGGCTCAAACATGCAGACACACCCGTGGGTATGTCTCCTATTATACCTGGCTGTGTTGTTCATCCTATTTATTTTGATCTACTTCGCCATCCTCAGTTAAATTCATCAGCTGGAAGAAGAAACTCATCCGGAAACTAACCACAGACTACGCTCCTACAATGGGAGCCAAGAAATTAATGAAGCGTGACTCCATTGTGAAAGAACTATGTAAATTGTTGTGCAGAATGAATTTTCGTTTATCAAATGCTGCTGATTGCCAAGAGGCTCAAGGGCTAGCCAGTGTATGTAAACAGTGTTTAATTCTCAATTTATGTATTAAATTATTGGTATAGGTACGATTAAGCTTATTGATATGCATAAAGAAGATAGTATATTGTGATCTGTATACAATGGGGAATCCAGATACTCAGGGGGTTAGGCTATCCATCTGATACTTGATACTTGCCTGTACAAGAGCGTGTGCTGAGCCTGTGATCCCATTTTCACTAGACACTTCAAGGGATCAACAGAAGGGACCAGGGTCAACTGACCATGGACCCAAAATTGGACATTCTAAACTGACCGGAGAAACCTGGCCTGAGAGAAAATTGGCCAAACTAAATTAAACTGCAACCAGCAGCTAACGGCTACATGAGAACAGTGGAAGGTCAAAGAGGCACAAAGGTTCTGGGGAACCAGTTAAACTAGCCCAAGGATTGTGTACTGGAGAAGTATCAATTAGACTTTCAGGCACCTTGACTTTCAGCCAGGCGTGACAACAATGAAGGATGTTGGCATGATTCGATCCAGCTCATAACCCCATCAGCCAAAGGCCACAGAACATTTTGTGGTGCAGGGCAAAGTGTGATAAAAACACACACCTGGAAGCCACCCCTCAGCAAAGACTTGCAGAGAAGACTCATAACAAGACTCATGGCAGAAGACCATGTGACGAACAAGACAACCCACAAGAAGATCTGCCTGGACCTGCGAGACCCACTTTAGTGGAAGAGAGCCAGCCCTACATTAGAGGGAAAGATTGCAACGGCCCAACTTAAACACATGGATCATTGCACGTAATATTCTTTCTCGGACAGGCAGAGCTAGATATAGTGTAAACATCATGGGAATTTGGGAAATGCTCACATGGTGTTTTCAGTAAGAAATATTTTGTTAATAGAGTTGAACCGCAAATCGAATTCTGTGTTGCTTTGTCCACCTACCCAGGTGCTTGTCAGTGAAAGTGTATTTAATACATGAACTGGTCAAGGTGTGCATAGCTCAGACAATAATACTCTAGTACCACCATATAAAGTCATAGAGTCACACAGCATGGAAACAGACTCTTCGGTCCAACTCATCCACGCTAACCGGACATCCCAATCTGACCTAGTCCCACTTGCCAGCACTTGGCCCGTATCCCTCTAAACCCTTCCTATTAAATTTTGTCATTTTGCCTGCCTGCACCACTTCCTCTTGCAGCTCGTTCCATACATGCACCACCCTCTGTGTGAAAAGGTTACGCCTTAGGTCCTTTTTAAATCTTTCCCCTCTGACCTTAAACCTGTGTCCCCTAACCAGACTCCTCCACCCTAGGACAAAGACCTTGGTTATTCACCCAACCATGCCCCTCATAATTTTATAATCTCTATAACGTCACCCCTCAGTCTCTGACACTCCAGGGAAGAAAACCCATCCTATTCAGCCTCTCCCGATAACTCAAACCGTCCAGTCCTGGCAACAGCCTTGTAAATCTTTACTGCATCCCTCAAATTTAACAACAGCCATTCAATAGAAGGGAAACCAGAATTGTACAGCATTCCAAAAAAGAGGTCTCACCAATATCCAGTACAGCCGTAACATGACATCCCAACTCCTATACTCAATGTTATGACCAATGAAGGCAAACGTGCCAAACACCTTCTTCACCACCCCTGCCTCCCTGTGACTCCATTTTCAAGGAACAACGTACCTGCAACCCTAGGTCTCTTTGTTTGGCAACAGTCCCCAGGACCCTACCATTAACTGTATAAGTCCTGCCCTGGTTTGCCTTACCGAAATGCAACACCTCACATTTAAGTAAATTCAACTCCATCTACCACTCCTTGGCTCATTGGCCCATCTGATCAAGGTCCTGTGGTACTCTGAGATGATCTTCTTCACTGTCCACTACACCTCCAATTTTGATGTCATCTGCAAACTGACTAACCATACAGCATATATTCACAACCAAATCATTTATAGAAATGACAGAAAGGAGCTGACCCAGGACTGATGCTCGTGTCATCTCGCTCTGTTTCTTGCTGCAGAAAGAAATGTACAAGTTGTAAAACAGCCTTTACAGAATTATTTGCGAAGTGACAAGCCAGGCAGACATGTCCACATTTCTCTTTGCCGCAGGCTAGATGATTCTCTGTTCTCTTATAGATTAACTCCAGTCTCTTTTAAAAAAAAAATGCTCATCTTACCTTATGAGTTAGTGATTAAACACGTTCCTAGGACAAGGTTCAATTTGATTAAACCAACGTCAATAACAAGGTAAAAGGAAAGTAAGACAGAGTGAAAATGAGTCACAAGACACAAGCATGAAACTTAATGATCAGAAGGTCATGATGAATGACAACTGAGTTAAAAAGTAGTATGTGATTGAAGTTGTTGTAAAAGGCGCATTCACTAATCCAGTGAAGACCGGAGAGAATCTGTCTGTTTCATGCAGATTGATTTCCTTGAAAGAGGAAATCTGACAAAGAGAAAGCAGGAGAAATCTCCTATATTCTAATATTTCCTTACAGACCAAATGAGTGTCAGAAAGGAAGTCAAAAAGATTGTGGATGTCTTCTCAAATCACAGAATTCACAGGGAGAGCAAAGTAAGTCAATGCCTTTGAATAAGACTGAAAAAAAGAGATCACTGAACCTCACAATCCTAACAATTATGTGCAGTCAAGCTAATGGAAACGGAAAGAAAAACCCAGAGAGAAACAGAAAGAAGCCAATGAGGTTAATTGAAAGTATGCAGGAAAGAGGAAATAAAATGTTTTTCTTTTTATTATTCCTTGTCAAATGATAGTATATTTGTTAAATACATATTAATGGAAGAACAATTACTCTGGTAGTATCAGTTATTTGTATTTTGGTGCAGTTACAGCTAAACAAGTATGCCATGACAAGTATTGCGGATGCTAGTTTAGTCATAAAATATCTTGGGAACGTGTACCATTTTATATTTAATTTTTTTTTTAAAGGGGGAGGAAGTGTAATGCTGCAAGTCTGAGCATCTTATATTGCGTTCCTTGCCACCCTGTATTGGGGAGGTGTAAATAAACTTAGTTCAAAAATGGCTGCCTGGTCAACCCCACCTTAATTCTCTCTGTGTAATATACAACTCTGCCTTATGAAAACTCCTAAACTGGGAACAAATGCAGCGGTTCACCAAAGGGCAATACAGCAATGGATTAAATAATTTGAAAAGGAGTCTGAATTGTAAGTCATTAAATGGAGGAAAAAAGTATGCAGTCAAATTGATAGGCAGGGATACAGTGTTAATGGGTCCTCTAGTAGAGGTAAACCTTGCATTCCAGCATAAACACTGAATGAAAAGGGGGAATCTATTGTCCTCTAAGTTTATAAATCGACTCCTTATTCCATGAGCAGAAAGAGGGCATGAATTTTGTAAAGATGGAATGGAAACAACCAACAAGGGTTTTGGTTGAACAGACATGGAAACGTTCTTAGTGTCAATATAGTCAGTAACCAGAGGACAGAGATCTAAGTCAAATCAGTGAAAGAAACAGAAGGGAGATGAGGAGTTTTTATTTTTTGTTTTTAAATTTGGACATGCAGCTAGTTTTGATCTGGAATGCACTGCCCCGATTTCTTTCAAATAAGAATTGGATAAATACTTGGGAGACAAAAAAAAATGCAGGGCTGCAGCATGTCTAAGAGAATGGATATAATTAAATTGCTCTTTCAAAGAGTCAGCACAGGTATGATGCGGGCTGAACAACCGTCTTATCTGCCATACAATCCTAGGTTTCTAATGTCTCATTTACTGTTTAAAAAAGAACAGATTTTCCATTTCCACAATCATTTTGACTTCCATAAGCTCTTCCTGAGTAAACTGTAAAAAAAAACACTGCAAACATAAATAACACATCAGCAACTTGCTCTCTGAGTCAACAAGTACAACTTACCCACACAGGTTCGGCCGTCGTCTGCAAACTGATAACCTGTGAAACATTCACATCGGTAAGTTCCTGGCTGATTGTTACAGACAGCATAATTTCCACAAATGGAAGGATCATCTCTGCATTCATCAACGTCTATAAAGGAATAATAACACATGGAAATTTATCCAGCAGAAATCAAGGAGCATACGTGCTTTTAAAGTTGTAACAATTTTAAAAGTAGACATTCTTTCACATGTTAATAGTTCTATGCCATTTAATGTAGGCAATTTAATTATGCAAAATTTAAGATCTTGGTTTGAGGACTCGTGTTGCAATGGTAGTGTCCTATCTTTGGACTGGGAGGCCTAGATTCAAGTCCCACCTGCTTCAGAGGTGTTAATAACATACTGATTATAAAATATGTAAAACCTTGGTTTGTGAACTTTTCTTCAAAAGGAAGAACTTAAATTTCTACAGCACCTTTTAAACTTAGTAAAATATAAAAAAGCTCATCACAGATTCGTTATCAGACAAAATGTGATACTGGGCCATAGAAGGAATTACTGTGACAGAAAGGCCATTGACTTAAAGAAATGTCTTGAAAGGAGGACATAAGCAAGAAGCGATAGGCTTAAATAAGAATGTTCAAAGCAAATGGATAAAACTATAATTTTGACTTCCCCATTTCAGAACTTCTTTAGGCTTCTCCACACGAGGAATCATTCCACATCAAAACCAGTCTCTTGTGCTGTGGTTCTATAAACAACAACTAATATGCTTTACAGGATATATGTGCCCATCTTTCAGCTAACACTCCCAACATATTCAGTATGTAAAGAATGTAAGTGCTATAGAAACTGAATAAAATGCAGCCAAGTCAGTACTATTCTGAGTTATATATCCTTTGATCAGCGGTTTCTGTACTTCGCTTTTGTCCCGGGCCCAAAACTCCTGATTCACCCTGCCCTGGCCCTGATCTCAGCTTCAGTTTTTTTCTTGCATTACTTCAGGCCCTCTCATTTGTTTTAGATGTTTACTCACAGATGTGTTTCTGCAATTGGGCAGGACTTGTTGAAGAATCCTGCCTGCATTAATAGAGACACTGGCAACCATTTTAAAATAATTAGTCTCACCTATTTAGTAACATACATTTATTTGCAGGAACTTGCTCTCTGAGGAAAAAAGATTTTTTCAACACTTCCACCTTTTCTTGAAATACCCGGAATCATGGAGAGTTTACAGTTTACTGTCATTTGACGTTCTTGTCATTCTTGTGTTTGTCCTCATGAATCAAAGCCAAATGCTTGAGCAGCATGTTCTCTTTCCAGCAAGATAAATGGATTGTACAGATTCCCCTCTCCCTGAAATTGACCAAAACTGAAGACAGTCCCCATGAAATGTAAATAGAGATATTCTGGTTTGAACTTGTGCAGATATTTACAAGTAACAGGAGCGACAGAAGCCTCACCACCACTTCAGATTCTACAACTCCTTCAGACTAAAAATCACAGATTTGTCATAGTGCTGTGGGAGACATTTCAGAGCACTGCCTCTGTATCAGCTCTCCAAATGAGCAAATCCTATAGTGCCATTTTTCTGCCTACTCCTGGTAACCCTGCAGTCTTCTTTTCCAGTTAAGAATTTAATTCCCTTCTGAATACTTCAATGGAATCTTCCACCACACTCAGGCAGCACATTCCTGACCTCAAAGATGAGGAGGGACAGCGCTTTAGCAGTAATATCACTGCACTGATAGGCTAAAAGCTCTGGGGACACAGGTTAAAATCCCTCCATATTAGCTTGCAGAATTTAAATTAATTTTATAAACATGGAACATAAAACTAGTATCAGTAGTAGTGACCATGAAGCTATCACCAACTGCTGTAAAGACACATCTCGTTCACCAATGTCGTTCAGAGAAGGAAATCTGGCATCCTATTCTGCTCCTGCCTCCAAAGCTACAGACATCTGTTTGGCTATTAAATACCCTCTGACTTCACTTAGCAAGCCATTCAGCTCAAAGGCAATTAGGGATGGACAACAAATTTTGGCCTTTCCAGTGATGCCAACATCATGAATTCATAAATTTTAAAAGACACCCCCTGATTGAAAAACAAACGTTTCTTTCCATAATTTTGTTAACTTACAGTGATAGGGAGACGAGTACATGATAATAGGGTAAAACGAAGTCTGCTTAGAAGAGGCTCATGTACAATATAAACAAGGGACTTTGTGTGGTGTAAACCCAATGCAAAATGACCAGCAACAATTGATAAGGCTCCCAAACATGATCACATATGGGGGAAGGACACTAACATTGGTCCTACCCAACCTCAGAGAAGAACAAAGGATGTAATGTTAAAGAAATTGCAGCCTGTTTCACCAGTTTCCTTCTTACCATAGCAAGTCTGGCCATCTCCATAAAAACCTGCAGAACATTCACAAGTGAACCGATTCCCCTGCTCTGGGCGACATGCAGCATTGGTGTCACATCTATGAGTTCCTGTGTAGCATGGGTTCTGGTTTACCGAGCTCGAATCGGCTATTAAAACAGGAAAGAATTAGAATTCACCCCCACAAACAACACTGTTCCTCAATCTTCTACCTTTTCCACAGTGAAATGGAAAGGGTATTATTACATTGCTTATTCCACCTGAAGCATAAACACTTACATGGCTTAAGCAGCCCTTCTGATACATTGTTACATTTTAACTTTCACAACAATTGATGTAGAATAACCCATTTTTCAACTGTGCTCTTCCAGTCAATAAAAACTTGTTTTTATATAGCACCTTTAATGTAGGAAAATAACCAAACGAACATTGCCAAACATTATAAAACAATTTGACACGGATCCACATAAGGAGCCCTTGGGCAAATGAACAAAAGCTTGGTAAAAGAGGTAGATTTCGACAAGTGTCTTAAAAAAAATAGAAGGCAGAAGGATCTAGGAAATGCCAGAGCTTTGGGCCTTGGCAGCTGAAGGTACATCCACTAAGTTGTAAGATTGAAATTGGGATACACCAGAAGGAGCACAGGGATCTATGCTTTTCATTCAAACATTTTCATGAAAAAATTCTGCTGCTAAATGCAAATTATCTTGTGATTCCTAATGATCGGGTGCAAATCGATACAATCTCCCAGTTTGGCGAGGTAGGTGATCAAATGAATGTTTAATTCCTAAATTTAAAAGCAAAGGGAAAAAAAAAAGCAGAGACTGCCTGAAATGCAGTACAACTAATTGCAATGAACAACAATTTTGGGAGCACAAGGATGTGAAAGTGGCCAGATGACCTAGGATTGAGAACTTGATCCAAACACTGATGTCAGGCAGCACAAGGTCCCTAACAGAAACTCGCTCTCTCTCCTTCCCGCCTCCCTGCCCAACACCACCCATCCACACACACACACACACACACAGTTGTGGCTGAAATCTCACTTCAAATTAAAAGGCCATGGGTTCAAAGCTCTACTGATTCAAACTGAACATACAATTGAGGCAGGACTAAAGGGACTGCTACATAGTCAGAGCACCTCGCTTTCGGATTATACATTAAACCGAGGCACCAGATGTACGTAAAGGATTCCAGAAGGTTTTCAAAGACCTTCCTGGTGCCCTGACAAACATCCCTCTCTCAACCAACATTGCTAAAACAGACCTCCTGACCATTGATCCGTTGCAGAGGTCAGGAAATACTTGTGACACAATTTAACTTATTTTATTCTGATCTCTCTTTTGCTTTTCCTATTTAAATGAACCGTACTAATCATTAGCAGCTTGAACAACAAGATGACTGACTGTTCTGTTTGCTGAAGTGAAGTAACCATACATGCTAGTATCTAGCAAACCAATTTCCAGGGTTATCAACCTCACTGCAATTAAATGAATATCTGATAACAGACTAGGCTCACTTCTAACCTCTGATACTGGAAAAACATACCCAAAGGTAAAGGCTTAATGTACTAGCAGCTGAGGAGATTTATAAATCAAACATGCGGCTAAATCAGTTACTGGAAAATCTGGTGAACAAGTGTCTAAATTCTAATTATTGATGCATCATAGTTTGTCTACAGTCATCATAACATAAAATACTGACTAATGATCTGTGAATTTCAGCAACTGATTCAATACCCAGGATTTTCGTGAATAAGAACATTGACTTAAGAATGGCCACAGGAATCACCTGACCATAGCCAGCCAAACCATGCAGGGTAACCAGACAGTTACCTCGGGTGAAAGGCTTTAAAAAGGATCATATTTTGAATCCCAATTACATAAAGATAAAGCCACATTCTAAAGTTCTGGGGGCAGGGGTGGGGGAGGTCGTCATAGTTCGCCAAGGGCACCAAAAGCCCTCTACCTGACCACACGAGCTGCAGGAGTCATATAAAACTGAAGTGGACTTGATCAAAGATTATCTTCAGTTAAAATTCACATTTTCTTCAAGGCCAATAAAGTCAATTGATCAGATCCTGAGGGATGTGTGAAAAAGTCTTCATCACCTATTTAGTTTATACCATTGAGAATCTACACATGTTGCAGATGAAACATCTACTGCAATTATCAACCCTGGAAACAATAACCACCACAGACATGGACTATACAAACAGTTTCTTTTTCTAGGGTTTTTTCTTGGCAGACTAAGACAGATGGAATTAAGAATGCAGAATTGAACATATTCTCAAAAAGAAGTGCCCAGGCTGATAGCATTAACTGGAGAAGATGATGAACAAACTGAGGACTTCAAATAAAGAAAACTAATATTTGCTACTGCTGACTACAGCCAAGCATCCAACTTACCAACTGCTGTCTCAGGTTTCAATAGTGTGTCTTGGGAACACCCATAGGATTTTAAGAAGTTTTTAAACTTTTCCTTTATACCATCCTTGTCTAACTTTGTACATGTGTGCTTGCTTACATATGAAAGGCCCAAGTGACCACACAAAGGTTAGCATGCTTGATATTGCATTTTTATTATTTTTCTCTGGTTAGCAACTCATAAACCTGCTCCTTTATTTCAAGAAAACCTTGTGATTGGTTCCTTATTGCTTACAGTGAGAAGTTAACAAACTACATTTTGATTAGAGAAAGATACAGCTCCATGCTAAAAACAACTGAAACCTTTGACATCAACCAAGGAGGCTGAAAAACAGGGAAGCTGGTTCACCCAAAATCAAGAAACATCGTGACTATATTCTTATAGGCATTATAAGTAAGGTATTAAACCGCCACCTGATGAAAAACCCTGTTGCCACCCTCAGAGCTCTTATCAACTGACCAATTTTATATCCGTGGAAACACATTTTCACTGACACTGATTTTCTTATTGTCAGTACCAGCCTCAGAGGAACTATACCAAAGAATTCACCAAAATCGAACTGCACAGTTTCCACTGCTTTCCCTCTATAGAGCTCCGTTACCATACCCTCAAAGAAAACCAGCTATGACTGACAAGACCATTTTGCCATGAGGCCATATTGACAACCTTTTGGTTTTGTTGCTATTCAGACAATCCACAACCTCCACCTTAACAAGGATTTCCATACTTTTAACCGCAATGAACATTAGACTCATTGGTCAGTGTCACTACAGTAATGCAACAATCCCTACACAGTGTACTGAACTATCAGACAAGGTTTTGAGCTAGAGTCTTGAATGTAGCTTCAACCTTCAAACTTCTGATTCCAGGCAAGAGCACTACCAATTATGTCAAGTTGATACAGCAGATAGCAGTAAAGAACTTTGAGCAAATAAGATGGATATCTTGTAGCTTTAACTCTAACGTACAGTACAAATTTCGTTCATTCATTCTCTAGCAGCATTCTTAGTCAAACAAAGCAGATAAGATTTTGTACAGATATGGAATCAAAGTAATCAGCCACCTTCAGCAGAATTGAGCCACATCTGCTGTTCACAAGATTTTTGACATATCAATTGTCAATGCAGACTGCAGGTTACAATGCTTCCGTTATGAGATCAGTTCAGGTTTTGCGTTGATTTAGTTCTCCACATTGCACTAGGTCAACTTTACACTACTACAATCCTGTAGCATAGGGAGGAACTCGATATTTCACAGAATCAAGGAGCAGAGTAGGAGGCCACTTGGTGCATTGTCACAGTTTCGCTTCTTTGAAAAGATATCCAATTAGTCTTTTTCTTTCCACATTTTTCTTTCCTTTTCATTTCAATTTTGAGAGTTACCACTAAACTTACTTCCATCACCTTACCAGTTTTGCATTCCAGATGATAATTTCCTAACTAACAGTAATTCCCTTCACACCTCCCTCCCATTCTTATGCCAATTATCTAACATCTGCATCTTGTTTATCATCCCCTCCCGCCAATACAAACAATGCTTCCTTACTTTAAAAAAATCTATCAAAATCATTAATCATTTTGAACAACTCTATCAAATCTTCTCTTGACTTCTCTGGTGTATGGAGAACATGCCCATCTTGCCCGCTCTGTCCTCATATTGGAAGTCCCTCATCCCTGCTGCAATTCTAGTAAATCTCCTTTACACTTTCTCAAAGGCCTGAAAATCCTCCCTGAAGAGAGGTGCCCTGAATTGGCCATTATACTCCAGCAGGGGTCCAACCTTCATTTTATACAGATTTAGCATAATTTTCCTGCTCTGCACTCCCATGGTTACAGGGCTAATAATTACAAGATCAACAACAGCACAAGAATCAAGTTCTACAGATTCTTTGGTTATTGATCTTATTTAGTGATCTATGCATACGAACAGCATTAAAAACACCAAATAGACAGTCCAAGAAGGCACTGTGCTGACAAGGCATGAATCTAAGCAGAGAATTTAGCGGAGGAGAAATTATCAATCCTGCCTCACATCACTACTCCAGGAATACTTCCATTATGCTCAGGTATGCAAGAAGCTTAAATACTGATAACAGACCAATTAAAACTTTGAGACACATACACTGTAATTCTACTCATTACAATCTTGTTCAAGCTTAGAAACTTCAAACCTGATGTTCAGTCCTTGGGTAAGCTACAGAAAGTTAACTACTGAAATATAAGCCATTTCAACACTATCTTTACTGGCTGCTTTTGGAGCACATCAGTCTATTGAACTGCAGCCAAACAGATGTCTTTCCCATCATCAAGTGAATAAAAAGCAGCAACTGGGGAAATATTTGTGGCTTCTTCATAAGTAACTGGACTGACTTGCTACATTTGGTCTCAACCCCTGAATTTTGCAGGTAAAATGCAATTTAGAAAACCAAACTTCAGATCTAATTGTTCTCAACAATGTTTAGTGCCTTTCTTTATAAAGAGCAACTTCCTCTTCCTTAATTATCATGACCAGAAAAAACATCTCCCCTCAGGGCAACTTTGCAGGAAATCCCACTCTGGGCCCCTTAATGACTCAAAACCAACAAATACCTCTTACAGAGTTTATATGCCTGATGGAAACACGCTATGGAATAAGAAAGGCCGCCTCAAAAAAATGCAAAGTTAACTTGTCTTCTGTAGAAGCTCACAGCAATTAATGGAACAGCACAGAAACAGCATTTTGC